AAAAATGCTGTGGTCTGAACAAAAAGCAGAATCAACTACCTGTTGAGGCTGGGAAGAAACACAATTGTAGCGTCAACACTATAATAATATATAATGTGTATAACACACTCAAAACACTCCAGAGAGATCCACCAAAAACAATCTTTTGAAACTGCTAGATAATTTTGTACTAACATTAGTTGATTTAAACTGCATCTGAATATATTTAGAACAAAGTTTAAAAAAGGGCTCAGAACTCTATTTGAGTTCTGAAGCTTCTTGAAACAGTATGTGTGTTACTTAGAAAGGCTTCATCCTGATCAGGTTCCTCCTCTTATCTTTCTACTCCTTCTCAGTGAGTTAAATCTTCTGCACATTTTAATGCTGCATAGATTCTTCTTTAATACATAGTAGGCAAGTATTTCCAAACCATTTCAAGAGTACTGATGGATTTGTTTCATCTACATTGTGGGATAGAACTTCCTTGATTCAGTAGAAGGATTTCACAAATGATCCTTGCTTTCTTTTACATTTGCAATCAGTATATAGGATTTTAATTTTTTTCCCCACATTTCATTGAACTTTGTATTTGCAAAGGTATGGCTTTCCCTGGCTATAAAGCTCAATAAAATGCTATTTATAGTTGCTTAGATTTTTGGGGCAGACTTTCTTAGAAGTGAGGACAGAATTATTGTATGAAGTGCAAAAGGCCTATTTTTCAAGCTGGACTTTGAACTGATGGTACAGAGACCTAGGTTCCTTGAAAAACTACCCAGTTATGGAAGTTGTTCAGTGTTGACATTTTGGAAAAATCTAACTTTGGCACTTGTGCTTGAAAAGTATTCAGATAATTTAGGTGGGACCAGTTCCAGGCACATGAAAATAATCAGTTTCATGTTTTTTAACTGACACTATTGATGTATTTCAAATTGTTACATCATTTATTGTATCAAGGACAGATTCCTGAGCTGTAAAGATTATTAGGACTCCACGAAATTTTTCAGTTAAAAATGTCAACTAATTAGTTATGAAACTTTTTGAGGAAAAGGATCTGGTAGGCTCAACATATATATAAATATAAAATATCTTGTGAAAGATCAACATTCAGGTTTCTGTTTAACTAGTTTCATTGGGATTTTTTTCTATATTGTGATTTAACATTATATTAATGTTAAAATATTTTCCATGCCTCAGTTGCAAATTGTTATGCACAAAACATACTTCCTCTCTTTTGCCTTTTTCCATACCTATTTTTTTTAAGGATGACTGTACTTTCTTAACCAATTCTATTATGGACCCCATATAATTGATGTCATATTCTTCACCTTTTGCTGGAGGAGCCCATTAGCAGAATTTTGCTACATACAAAGAGCCCATGAATAATATTATGTCTGAAACAACAAGACTCAATTATTACTGGGCAGCGTTTTGCATTAAAATACATGAAATGTTACTTTGAAACTTAGAAATCCACTTAGCAGTTACCTATTTCAACTATTTTGTAGCATGTGTGGACATTTTCATTTCAGTGATAGATATAAAACAGATATAGATCAATGAAATTATGGCAGTGCAATATATAAATCACATTAATATATGTATTCATTTTTGGACAAACAATTCAATATTCATTAAAAAGACATAGTTGTTGAGTGGTTAGCAACATGGTATTTACTCCATGCAACAGTATTGAAAAGATCCAGAATGCATGTTTGTAACAGTTATGGCACATCTCTTTAGATGTCCCTTACTAAATAGTCCTTCCTGGAAAATCAACAGCTACCTGCAGGAGCAAGGATGGAAAGGCAACTACAAATTAAAAAGCAGAGACTTTTGTGTTTGAATGTAGTCTGGTGCTTCTCACATGACATACTTAAAGCAAGAAATGAAAGAAAGAAAAAAAAGAAACTTAATCTTGAGCGGGCTTAGTGTGGCTCTGAAAGTTTTTTTATACAATTTTAATAAATACCAGAGGTGTCTTTATGAATGTGGGATTAAGAAATCTCTGTTCTGAACAAACTGAAGCAAACAAGGAAAAAAACCCCAAAAACAAAAAGTAGCAAAAATTCCACCCCCCCCCAAAAAACCAAGCAAACCAAAATTTTAAGTCTAGAGGGAAAAAAATAGAGGATGTAGTTTAATGAGAAGAGTTATTAGAAATAAATTATTTTTCTCACATATAAAAATGCAGGTTCAAATGTTGGTAGCTCAGGATTGGTTGCAGCCATTTTAAATATGATTAAAAGATCATTTTTTAACAAAATTTAACTTTAATGACAATTTTATCCACTTCAGATCTAAAATTATACTTAGAAAAATCAAGAAGCTACTGAATTATCATATATTTTTAAGGGATTCAAAACACTAATGAAAATTTTTAAACTTTTTTACATCTTTTCCAGAAAATACTTCAGTTCTCTTAAGCTACTTGCAATTTTGTAATGTGTGAAATAAGCCTCAGGAACAAAACCCAGTATAATTACATAGAAGTGAAAAATACCTTTCTTTCTAGACATTATTGATATCTCTGCTATCCACAAAGAAAATACTCTTCAATATTAATTTAGACAAATTCCTGGTTTATTACATAAAATTAAAAAGACCATATTAGTCTTGTTCTCTTTGTATCTTGATTTCAGCACTTTTTTTTTTTTTTGCAACTGGCCTGTGGCACAGCACAGTGGCAACTAATCTGGAATACCCACAGTACTGCCAGTAACATGGAGCAGGCTGACACTATGAACTTGCTTTTCTGAGGAATTGAAAAAGTAATTATTTCTGCTGCTGAGTTAATGAAAAATATCAGTTGCTGAACAGGAGGGCAAGTTAAAAGTTTTGAGGTAACACTACATGTGAACAGAATGTCAAGAAGGGAGTAGTAGAATGGTGAATGTTACAGAAAATGAGCCGAAATCACACACTGAGAAATACTAGGAAAAAAATTTATTAAAGACTAGTGATAGTATACTACCCACTCACAGGCTCAGATATTTAGATTTGCAAAGGAACCTTGATATTATATTAGATGGTTAAAACCTTCTGGGAATTGTGGAAGACTTAACTTCTTCATGGATTTTTAAAGAAAAGGATGCTAATTTCAGCTGTGCCTATTGTTCTATATATTACTAATTTGAAAAAGCTTTGAGACATGCCTGTGATAAGCAGTACATTCCTCCTAGTTTTAGTTTTTTCTTTTTCCCTAAAATTTTCATGTGTAAGCATAAATCTTGTTAAAGTAAAGAGCTTGCTGGTGCAGGAGAAAGCCCCCATTCAAATAACAGCACTAATGCAAGGCAGCAGTGGAAATTGCTGCCCAAGCAATTTCCTTGTAGCTTGAATTTTCTCTATTTCAGGGTCATTCTGGTATAAAAGTCCTTTGCAGTTTGCTTTCTTGCAATATACATCAGAATGAAGGTTTTTCTTTTATTACCAAGGATTATTCGTTATTAGTGTTACTTAAGCACATTTGTGCGTGAATAAGATTGTGTAGAGGGAGCAGCCCCTATCCTAGGGGCCATAGTGATGTCTGATTCTAACCCACAACATATGGATAAATTTCTTCATATCAGAACAGAAACCAGTGGCAAGCATGCAGATTTAAATCACACATCTAAAGGATGTGGGTGAGGAATTGTTACTGCAGAGGGTCAAAATGACTGCGCAGGGGTTAAATCACTCTAACATATTCATCATACATTGTTTAATAGTCCCATGCAAAATTACTTTCCTTGTATTTTTGGAATGTATGTTGTACACATGGCCTCATCTAATCTTTTGCCACTTCACAAAGCAAAAGCTAATTTCAATTCCAGAAGATAGAAGAGTCTTCAGCTATGTAAGTTAAAGGATATGTGCTGCAGTTCACAAAGAGGGCATGCACATAACACATTTGCTTAATTGTTCTACAGAGGTGCCAATCCTAATTAGGACTTCATTGGTTTCTCCATTGAAAACAGTTTAAATTCCCTAATTAAGCATGAAAATAACTAATAAAAAATAAATTAAGACTGTTTACATATGTGAATCAAGTTTCTGCCAAGTTTTAACTCACCTTTCAGCCTGAGATGGGATTTATCCTTCATATCCTTTACAGCTGAGACAAGGATGAGGGCTCTGAGGGGCAAAAGTCTTACTCTGGTAGATTTGTCCATTTGCACTTTAGACAACTTGTCCATTTTGTGGGTCTCAGATTAGCATGTAGTTTAGTACAATACAACTATGAGTGTGTCAATTTGGGACTTCATTTTCTGAAAATTATGCTATCCAATCCATTTTGAAAAATGGAAGCAAAAACCAAAAAAAAAAAAAAAAAAAACCACCAAATCCAAATCTCCAGGATATAGGACAGAGGACTAGTGAAAACAAAAAAGCCAAATGTACAGAGTAAATGAAGTCAGCTCTTCTTAGTCTCTTGGGTCCTGGTATCTTCTTTTTCCTTCAGCTTCTATTTCCTGATCCCTTGCCTATTTTTCTAGTTTACCTCTCTCTTCTATTCATCACTCCTGAGGAATGTTTTCTATTTCATTATCTCCACAGGTCTTAACTTCATAAGCATACACAATATTAATAAGTTGCTCAGTAATACAGCATAGCCTTTTTCTAAAACTTCACACCTTCAGCTTTCCCCAAATGCAATGCTACAAACTAAACACTGTGTGCAACTTTCCTGTCTACTGCATGAGCTAAAAATTGTGTTGGTGTATTTTTGCAGCTCCTGTACAGCTGGGAATTTAGGAAATGTATGAGAAGCATGAGGGTTTGGCTTCTAAAAACCTATGCATTCATTATTAGCCTTGTTGGTAACGGTAGTTTCTGTAATTTATAGATATGCTGTCATGTGAGTAATTTTACATTAATTAATATTTGTGTGAGGTTTTTCTGATGTGAAAAAAATGTTAACTTTATAAAACATGTAAAGACTGAGTGGACACATGAATGAATTTGTATTTTGTAGGTGCTTTTAGATAGCAAAAATTTGAGGCTTTTTTCCTGATTCTTCCTTTCTTTTTTCATCCTGACAGTACAAACAAGTGGAACAGTACATGTCATTCCACAAGTTACCAGCTGAAATGCGCCAGAAGATCCATGATTATTATGAGCATCGCTACCAAGGCAAGATCTTTGATGAAGAAAATATTTTGAATGAGCTCAATGATCCTCTCAGGGAGGTAAGATTAAAGTATTTGAATAGCTCTTCATGCTATGAAGAAATTTCTTGTCTTTGCTGTTTCTGTGTTGAGATGCTCTTTCCATTCTATAACATTTCATCTTCTTTACCATAGTCAGTGAATGGCCAGGATAATTAAATTTATATTAGGTTGACGCAAAGAAATAAGCAGATCAACACTCTATTGGGGACCAGCCTGTCAATCACTGCCACACGAGGATGTCAAAGGGTGAAATCCTCTCAGAGAGTAAAACCCCACCCTTATTGCTGACTGAAACTCCTGCTTTTCTGCCACTTTTTAAAAGAGAGTGGCTGGACTAAAATGATCCTGGGTGAAACACTTTTTTCACTCTCCCTACTTGCTAGCCACACGTCTCTACAGATAAAACCACTGGAAGTCACCATAAAGGGAGAGTTACGTTGTTTAATTTTGTAAAGTAGCATAGTTGGTAAAGGTGGTCTTTACTTGAGGTGAAGAAGCTGCATATTGGGGTACAAGCCCTTAAAAAAATCTCTTTTGTTGAAACTGTAGCCTGTATTCCAGTTTTAGGGGTTATGTTTTGCTATGTTATTGATGTGAAGTGTGGGAGCAGTTGGAATTTTCTTTGCTAGCGTAGGACGAGAGCGGTGTTCATCTTGCAGTAGCGGAAGTAGCTGCTTAATGGGAATATAAATCAGACTGTCTTCTGTTGGGTTGTGCTCATGCCTGACCTGCTCAAGGATGTTGGCTGATATCCTCTACTGAAAGGAGAGGGGAAAAGCCCAGAGAAGGAGCAAGCTGAAAAATTCAGAGAGAATAGAGCATAAACAGGGAAAACAGAAAAGAAACAAAGTGAGGGTGGAGCAGTCTGGTATGTGATGAAATCTGTAATCTTCAGTGCTACCAAGTAATGCCTTTTAATATCCTCTGCTTTTGGAGGAGTGGTGCTGATTATGTGTCCATATGTTTGTATATATTTGGCTATGTATAATGTATATAAAACATCCAACAGAGCACAGCATGACACCTATACTTTCAGAGAGATAAGTGAAGGTGGGTCAGGTTTTTTTTTTTTCATTTTGAGGCATAAAGAGAGAACAGTTCTGTGGTGGATTGTTTGTACTACTGGATCCTGCACTTTGCTGGGAAGGGAAAACGTCATACAATCCATTGCCAAAATCAATCAAGTTCCATATTTGAAATAGTCATATAGAAACAGGGCCTAGCCAAGTCACAGTTTATCCACATCTCTGTTGTGAAAGTCCCACAGCAGTGTCCCTCCTACAAACTGCCAAGTGGCAATGGTAAGTGCTGCACAAAATTGCTGGGTCTTTGCTAGATGCTTCAAGTCAAAATCAGGCCAAACCATGATTGTTCTAACAATTTAATAGCTCATGACTGAGTTCCAGATTCTGGACCTACTTAGTTCCTTCACACATGTGTAGTCTGAGGCCTTTATATTTTGAGTTTGTGTTTTGGAATGCAGGTAGAGGGCCCTGTCTTTTGCCTTGTCACTGCCTGTTTACACTGTGGCTCCCCTCAGTACCTTTTGATATGTCAGGAGGAGAATGTACTACAAAAATCTGCCTTTTGGGACAGGAAAAGTGTGGGAATTTTCCCTAGACTACAGTGACAGTCAAAATATGAATCTTGGCCAGTATGGAGCTTGTGTTTTGTTAAGAGAACAGAAGCATATACAGACACATCAGTACTGACATCAGAAACAGTTTAATGTTTCCACTTCTGAGGAAAGCATTTCTCCAAAAGTAAAGCCTAATACCCTTCCATTGCAAAATACTTTTTTTACTAACAGCAATTTGCACCCTAATTACATGTGTTTTCCTCTTTTCCTGCCCCCCTTTCTGTTTCATTCTTTCCACCCTCTCTCCCCTAGCCCTGTCCCCTTCCCCTTCTTTTTTTTCTTACAGCTTAGAAGCAGAAAGGCAAATTTGGTCAACCATAAAAAACAAAAAGCACTTCTGGTGGGAGATCAAGCATGGAAAATTTCAAAAATTAATGAGCCCCTAAAAACATGAAAGAAGAATAGAATTTCATGGAAGGAGTGGCTTCTGATTTTGCTATGGTTATGCTGTACTTAGCAGATCTTCTTTCTATTATATAACAAAAAATTAACTACAATCAGGTTGCACACTGACAACACAGTAGTGTTCCAGAGAAAGGTCAAAAAAAGAAAGAGAAAAAATAAGAACTGGCCACTGGCAGTGCCAGAACAGGTTTTTTAAGGAATCTGTCCAAATTTTCATGGCAGCTTATGCACTGTGGCCTGAAAACATCACTTATGTATTTTGCTTAGTTAATAGTTTCAAATTCTGTTTTAGCTACTTCTTCAGCATGTGCATTTTAGTAGTGCAGGTAGTATTACTTTTTGATGTAAAAAATGGATAATAAATCAGAGCCTTTTAAAGGTGGAACTGAGTTTTTCATATATTGGATGGGCTTTACCATCTTACGTGCCAATAATTGCACAAGGCTATAATAGGTAATAGCACAGATAGCCTGGCTGTATCATTGAAGAATAAATATTTACTGCATTTCTTAAGTTTTTAATTAATCCTACATTTGATTGTACTTGGAATTTAGCATAGAGTAAACATTCAGAGTCTCCACAGGACATACTTAGCTGGATGAAAGTAGCTTCTGACAAAGATACTAATCTGAAACCATTATTTCCTCACTTGGAGTAAGCAGAACAAAAGAAACCATACTAACTGCTGCATAATTATAGCATCATGAAGTGTTACAAAAAAAATTGCAGGGTTTTCACTACTCCTTGTTCTCAGCCATTCAAATATTCTGTATGGGCTGAAATTTTCCACAGCTATGCTTTTCTTAAGAGCAATGACCTTCTTTTTGGTCCACATTTTAAAATTTTGGGGTTTTTTTAGCAGGAAAGTAATTATGCATGATATAAATATGATCATTCAACCATTAAAAATAGCTAAAGTACATAGAATTAGCAGCAAATATCTGTGGTAAAAATAATTCTTACATGATAAATGCTAGTAATAAAGCCGTATATGCTTATAGAAGCATAGAATATGTTGAGTTGGAAGGGACCCTCAAGGATCATCAAGTCAAACCCCTGGCCCTGCACAGCACCATCCCAAGAGTCATGTCATGTCCCTGAGAGCGTTGTCCAAACCCTTCTTGAGCTCTCTCAGGCTGCTGCTGTGACCACAGCCCAGGGGAGCTGTTCCAGTGCCCAAACACCCTCTGGGTGAAAAACTTCTTTCTAACAGCCAACCTTTTTCTAGCCCTCTCCTAACTCAGCTTCAGGCCATTCCCTCGGGTCCTGTCACTGGTCACACAGAGCAGGGATGAGTGCCTGCCCCTCCCCTTCCCTCACAAGAAAGCTGTGACTACAGTGAAGTCTCCCCTCAGTCTCCCCCGGGCTGAACAGACCAAGCGGCCTCAGCTGCTCTCATACAGCTTCTCCTCAAGGCCCTTCTCCATCCTTGTGACCCTCCCTCTAATAGTTTAATGTCTTTATTATACTGTGGCACCCAAAACTGCACACAGGACTCAATGTGAGGTCACACCAGTGCAGAGCAGGACAATCATCTGCCTTAGTAGCAGAGGTTATCATTTTCATTGTAAAGATGTTAATTTTCATGAGCTTCTGATCATTATGTATGGAACATTCATATTAGATTGGATGATTAAAATAAAGAAAATCTGAGGAAATATTTGATGCATGTGTATGAGTGCCTAGCTTGGTTGGGTGATAGAAATAGAGCCATGTTTATTGTGGGAAATTAACTAAGGCTTCATTTAAAAAAAAGGAAAAGGGAATCCTGAACCTTTTTAAACTGTACAAGGCTCTATGTGTTTCAAAGCTGAGTAAAGGAACTAGTGGCTGACCTGTATCCTTCAAGGATAATCTGATATTAACAAAGAGATTGCATTTGATGTCTGGGCACTAAGGCAACATTTATGAGACTGAAAAGCTCTGTATTCTCCCCTGTTTAGTTAATTGCATCATTTGGGCCTATTAGTCCACTAGTAATGCAATTAATTATATGCTCTTAGCTCTACACAGTGAAACTGAACTAACCAAAAATTGCAACATGCGTACACTTGCTTGTAAGGACACATGCTCTCCGACAAAAGATAAGGGTTTCTTTACATTAAATTCAGAAATTTCACTTGAACTGAAAGCATATCCCCTTTTTCACAGCTAGACTTTATCTGATAATAAGTGTCCAGTCTTCTCAAGAACAGGATAATCAAGACACTCCTGGCAGTTACAATTTTGGTAGAGATGAAAGATTTTAAATTGCTTCTTAGGGGCCACGCAGGGCTGAATTCATCAAACCTATCTGTAGCTCCATAGAAGTTCTGCAACAAATTTAAGATAATCATCAGGCTCTCTGCACACACCACCCACACACACATGCTGTCACAGTTAAGAAAACCTAGCTGACTAGCTTACAAAAAAGGCTGCATCTTCTAACAGCAGTTGACATGTGAAATAAATTCTGTCTTTAATAGCATTTGTAATTAACTGTCTCTCTCCCTCATTTCTTGAGGCAGTGGTTAGAAACAATTAGCATATTTCCTTTATATAAATATCATCTCTAGTTCTTCAGCTGACAGAGATATTAAGCTTCACATTTTTTAACTTATTATTCTTACCACCTACAAGACTTGAACATCCTTTGGCCTCAGATGGCCTTAATCCCAAAAGTGGTCTTGGTATCTGTCATGCTGTGAAATGGAGACACTACAGACAAGAAGTTAAAAAAAACTAAACACAACAAAACCCACATGGACCTAAGAGAAATATATTCCAAAAGGACACCTGAATTATAAAAGTTTAAATACATATACATTACTAGTTCCATCTTGTGACTGAGTGTAAGTCAAAGTGACTCAGCTCTGGCCTTTGTCTAAGCCATCAGTCTCTCCAGCAGTGGCTGTGGGTGGATGCCCAGGGAAGAACAAGAACAGGGAAAGTATGGTGTGTCACTAAATGACTCTTCCAGACTCACAATATTTTC